TAAACAATACACGTACAGTTAATTATGCATGTGTCTAGGCTGTGCTGATAATTAAAATTTAGTAAATTCATAAGAAATAAAAATAGAGAGTAGACTGTTTTTACTACATGTTGTGCATCAGTAAATTGGTTCGCTCATTCTCATAGGTATTCTTTTTTTTTGACAGTATATGTAATATGAGACCCTTTGATCATTTGATGGAAGTGGAATTGTTTTAGAAAGATGCATGGTTTTAACACTGCTTTGGTGAACAAATGTATTGTATGATGTTGATTTATATATGGACGTATCCTAACAAGATAACAGGAGTCTCAGATTCATTGCACAGTATGCAGCGTAGGATGCTGCCTATTGAAACCCTTCCTTGGTGCTCCAAAATGCAGGTGTGTCACCTGAAGCATTTCCACTGAAGTAAAAATGCTGCTCTTCAGTCTCAATAGTTCACTGAAATCAGCACTGATTCACTCAAAAGCAAATATTTCAGCTGTTAGTCCTTTACACAGGTTTCTCTCCATGTGTGAAGGACATGAACAATAAAGACTGATTAAGTGGAAGGACTAAGTTGAAATTAAAGATGAGGAGAAAGTGCTCAAATCGTTCACACTTCACAAAACCTCTCAAAGAGTAAATATTACACAAATAAATGATGCCCGGCTTTATTGGCTCTTTTGAGGGTAAAGGGTATTTCATTTTGCGTTTGCTGTTTCTTCAGAAGCTCTCTGAAGCACTGAAAGTCTCAAAGTTGTTGTAAATGATTGCGCTGGTCCTGTAAAAGTTATGTGTCAGGAAACAGTTGAGGATGCAAGTGCAGGTACTCGGTGGTTTTATTTATCATGGCAAACAAGACGTAATCCAAAACTATAGTCAAAAAACAGGCAAGGGTCAGGCAATGTGCAGACAGCATAAACAAGGGCAGGCTAGAGCATAACAGAAACTAGCTCAAACCAGGCAAGCAGAAAGTAAATCAAGGCTTGGTATGGACTGGCACAATGACACAGACCATATACTTCACAAGGACTGTGAGAACTGAAAGTCCTTAAATACTGTGAGTGTGGTTGTGACTGGGTTTGAGTCCAGGTGTGTGATCGGTCTCAGCGGCCACGTATGTAGGCTGCACTGATTTATGGGAAGTGTAGCTCGACGCTGATTCCGGCATCAACATGACATTATGCCGTCGCAATGGGCTACTTATGAAAACACTTCTGCATTATATTTAACACCGTTCCTGCGTCGCCTTCATAATTACAGTTTACAGTCATAAGTGCAGTATTTTACCATTGCCGTCTGCAAGAGCTCCCAAAGATGAATGTCAGTGGCATTGGATATGTAAGAATACTTGCAAAACCCCTTCTAGCAAGCTTGAGAAAGGTGTCGAACTGTGTGCAGTCTCATACAGTGATCCCTGCTGATCTCCTGGGATTTTCACACACAACAGTCCCTAGAGTTTACACAGAATGGTACGAAAGACAAAAAACATCGAGGGAGTGACAGTTCTATGGGTGGAAACGTGGATAAGAGAGGTCAGAGGAAAATGGCCAGATTGGTTAGAGCTGCCAGGAAGGCTATAGTAACTCATATACTCACTCTTTACAACCGTGGTGAGCAGAAAAGCATCTCATGCACAAAACATTGACTCTTGACAGGATGTTTTTTTGTTGTTGCTTTTTTCTGGCACCATTCTGTGTAAACAGTAGAGACTGTTGTGTGTGAAAATCCCAGATCAACAGTTTCTGAAATATTCAAACCAGCCCATCTGTTACCAACAGCCATGCCACAGTTTTGCCACAGAGTCACAGAGATCACATTTCTTTCTGCAGTCTGATGTTTGATGTGAACATTAACTGAAGCTCTTGACCTGTAACTGCATGATTTTATGCATTGTCCTGCTGCCACATGATTGAAAGATTGGATAACTGCATAAATGAGCAGGTGTACAAGCGTTCCTAATAAAGTGGACAGTGAGTGTATAATGGTGCAGTACAGTCTTTACACCATTAGTCTCTGGCGGGGAAAAAAAAAAAAGCTCTAATCCATTAATCAAGTTGAATGCAGCATTCCTCTTTTCTGTATGTATGTGTGTCTGTGTCTGTGTGTTTATTTTCGCAGTGTAATCTGGATAAATTTCAGTCACCCCGCTTTCCATTTCTAATTTAAACCAAAATTCAATTAAACTCGCATAATACCAACAACAATAGCATCATATCTGCCTATGCTAAGAAGGAGGAGAGAGAGTGTGAGAAAAACAGGGAGAGGGAAATAGAGAAACTGAGAGTGAGGGAATTAAACTCATATTTCATTTCAGCTTCACTTATTAATCTCTGAAAACATGGAATCTCATTTAAGTTTGTGCTAAAATGCTCCGCTTCTGTGTGGCTTGCAGATTTAAGGAGTTGCTTGTGCAAAACTGAAAGAGTTTATTTGGCATCGAGGATCTAAAACGGGCCATGGTTGCTCACCGCCTCAGGTTGTGGCTGATCTACTGATCTGTCTGTTAACCTTTAATCCTGTTCAACCCTGTGCTTATTCTGTATCCTATCTTAATTAGAAATCACTCTGGATAAAGTAACTATGAAATGAATACAAATGTAAATATGAGCGCTTTAAAGTGCTTTATTTGCACATTTACATATTTACATATTATTACATATTATCACCATTTAAAATAGGTTTCTAATAACAGCTGTCATAACAATGTACACTGGTCAATAACCTACCTTGGCTGTGATTTGATGACCTATTGGTGGTTTTAAAGATGCCTATTGTGGCCTACAAAACAGGTCATGTTAGTCCGATAGCCTAGATAACACATCAACTATACCAACTGAAATAAGAATATAAACAAATTATGCCTCTAGCAAATTTTAATTCAGATTGTTTTTCAGAAACCAGATGATCTGCCAGTACAGTATGTGTTGCCAGGCAAAAAATTCAGCCAAACAATAAGCCATGAACGTAGCATATGTAGTACAGCAGTGAGATATGATGTCCTTTGATGTTTGGAAAAATAATCCATATCATATAATGAACATATATTATAACACATCAGTTCTTGCTCGGCAGTTAAGTCTATCTCTAACTCATACACTGAAATTAATTGTTAAATTTCATATGTTATATTATATATATGTTAAGTGCATAAATCTGAGACCTGTAAAGCCAGTCATTACATCTTCTGAGGTGAATACTGACTAAATCTGTATATTTGACCTGTCTCTCTCTCTCTCTCTCTCTCTCTCTCTCTCTCTCACACACACACACACACACACACACACACACACACACACACACACACACATGATTGGCCAGTATGTCTCAACAAGATAAATCAACAAGATACAACAACTGTCATTCATGTCACCCAGTCAGTCCATATGCATCCTTGGAAGACTTGGAAAGTTGAAAAATGTTTTTCACAATAGCTTATACAAACTGCTACACTTCACTTAATAAGTTATAAATATCGTAATTAGATTATGCAGATAGAAGCATAATTAGATAATGCAGATAAAACACCAAGATAAAATGGGCAATTATAACACTTTGAGAAAGAATATGTGTTTATATTCGTATATTTATATTCATATAATGTATGATACATCAGTAAAACCGTACTCTACAGTCTCAACATATTTGTGATTCTTTTATCTTATGAAAAGTGCTCACTTATAGGTAAGTATGCAGTTATGGTGCTATGTTTGTGCAAAAGTCCTAAGGAGATATTTTCAGAGCACGTGGAAATTTGTTGAAAAAGCATAAACCTAAGTTTGCTGAGTTATCTTTTAACAAATGAAAATCAGTTTTGTATGCAATAAAACTTTCTTTTGCAGTCCTCATCTGCCTCTTTGAGGCCTCTTTGATTCCACAGTTGCTTCTGCAACACACATAGACTTTTACTTGCTTTCTCCACATAGATAGAGGGAATCAAAGGATAGCTCCATCTATTCTGGCACAAAACCTGCTGGTCTCTGTTAGACAGCTGAAGATGAACAAAAATTTCACCTTCCAGCACAATAGCAACCCAAAGCACAAATCCAAGTCAACAAAAGAATGGCTACAAAAGAAGAAGAACATTTCTGAATGGCCCAGTCAGAGCCCAGATCCAAACCCTTTCAAAAAAAATCTGTGGAATTAGCTTGAAGTGGGCTGTACACAGGGGATCCCATTGCAATTTGATAGATCTGGAGCATTTTGCAAGGAAGAGTGGAATAAAATGACCAAATCAAGATGTGCTAAGTTGGTAGATTCTTACCCATAAAGATAATTCCTAATCTAAAGGGTGAATTAAAAGAAAAAATCGATGAATGCTGTTGAATCAATGCTGTTGAATGTGATTTGTAAGAAATAACATAGACATTATTTTTTGCACAAGTATTTTGTGTGCCTGTAATACAAATTTATATATTATGATATATTTGTATATATATATATATATATTAAGTGCTATGGGTAATATATTTTTTGACATGTATTTTCATTTCTTCCTGTACTAACCTCTTAACAGGGTTTTAGCTTGATGGTATTCTCAGACCCTGACCTATTGAACTAGCATGAAGATGCGTTTTTGATGGAGACTTCTGTAATTACAATTCTGTAATTCACTTAGGATAAGGGAGTCTGTTAAATGGCATAAATGGACATGTATTTAGATAGCTAGCTGCAGTTAATGGGCTCCCTTGAATGGAAATAGACACAAGCCTACAGTGCAGCATGCTAAGATGCAAGCCAACACCGTAGCACACTCTTGAATTACTCAGTAATTGTGGCAGTCACATTATTATTCTCACTTCTGTGAGTAACTGGCAACAGATAAGTATCCTTCGAGTCATGAACACCTGGGGTCATCCCAAACTGCATAGTACAGTACTAAATAGTTTGTCAGTACATTGTTGGTGTCAGTACTATTTAGGCATACTACTTAGTGTGTATTATGAAGTTTGGGCACAGACCAGAATTCTGTCTATAGCATTTTAAGCATTATTCTACCAGTAAGTAACTGTGGGTCCCTGGATGGCTAGTGGTTAGGCCACAGTGCTCTCACTGCTGTGGTCCAGGTTTGATCCCTGGCTAGGGAACCAACCCGCACATGACATTGCACCCCCAGTGCCATTCCCAAGCCTGGATAAAACTGGGGAGGATTGCGTCAGGAAGGGCCACCCCTAACAGGAGCCACTGAAAGAAGAAGCACAACAACAACAACATCTAGAAGTTTTAACCAAACCCATAGAAATTCCCACTATTGGGGGAATCTGGGGGAAGGTTTCTATCAGAAAGCCAAAAAGAATGTGCTGTAAGCTGAGCCTAAAACACATCATAAATATCAAATAGCAGCAGGAGAAGAAATTCTGCTTGTTTAACCATATGCCATAATTTAAAATTTTATTAAAGAACAGAACAGAACAAGCTCAAGGGCACACACGCTAAAATATCAAAACAGCCTTTCTAATAAATTTAATTTTGTATTTAGTGTGAAGCAGCATGCGACACATTCTACTCAGCGATGCCTTAGTAGAATTTCAAATAAGGTGTGTATTATTAATTTATTTATTTATTTATGTTCCTTGATGAGTATGGCACTGCTATTTGAGTCTCAGCAGGAGTCTCAGCACATCAGATTTTATTAATGATAATTACGTTTCACTCATCCATTGGCATCCATTGATGAGATCATTTAGGCTGTTTGAGGAAAAGTTCAGACAATCTTTAAACAAAACAGCCATGTCATCAGAACGCAAAAACAGAGAGAAGCCAGAGTCAGGATGGATGCACAAAATCTTTTTAATAAAGTATAGAATATAAAAATATTTTGAGTATTATTAATTAAATATTAGCCCATGCACAAGCAGATGTTTTAGCATACTTAAACTGCTAGATCTTTTAATATAGCACCCAAACACACATTTGTTTCTGCAGGTTTGTTCATCCCAGGAATGAAAAACAAGTTTGGTTTTATATTATGTTACAAGATTTTAAATTTTTTTGGAGTTTAAAAAAAAAATCATGGCAAGAGTAGATTCAGGAGTAAATTTTTATTCATGCAGCATTAGACAAGATGATTGCCATCAGATAAATTAATGTGACATAAAATTGGTTTTCTGTTTTTAATCAGCCTTTCTCTAATTAATCAACCTTTGTGTCTAAAATAACTCCTCCAGCTTCCATGGCAACAGCATTCGCAGTTTTGATACCAAGCCATTCAGCACACATGTAAATTCACATCTCCTGTTCATCTCATTTGATTTCTCGTCACGTTTCATTCATTCTGAAACATCTCTGACGAAAGAAATAAACAAAGCACTTAGGCAGGTTATCACAGCTTATCATGGAGCACACAATGGTCCTTTTTTATATTAAATATTGCTGTGTAGTTGTCAACAAGGTGTGAACAGTCTTTTTCCATCAGCTACTGTTCTGTTGAATACTCTGAAGAGTGGTGACAAAATGACATCAAGGAACTTCAACAAAACACCCAGCCGTGGAAAGACTGGAACACACACTCATTACCAGTGACAGCTGGTCATGCTATGAAATGGCAGAGCTAAAATTTAATATCTAATACTGCGTGACAACAAAATGATCATTACAAGTGTTTCAAGTCAATAATGCCCTACTGGGTCCATGCTGTGTTTCGTCTTAATACCAGCTATGCTAAACAGTAATGTTGTAACCCTTTCATTCAACCTTTCAGTTCTGTTTTCCGTCCTTTTGTGCCATTTGTATTCTCATTGGACAATGTGTGCTTAAATCTACTTTTAGTTTCTCCTCTAAAGACATTTTGGGGGAAAATGGATGATCCACTTCGTTCCTGTTCATTACACCTGTGTCTGTGTTTCTCAGTCATTGCTGATGTTAAGGATATGTCAGCATCATGGGTTTGAAAAATATTAGTCCAAATTACATCTACGGGGCATGTCACTCCCTGTAATTACTTGACACTACTGTCCCTGATAGACTACATGAATCTACAGTCTGGGCTAGAAAGAAATCAGTCCCAGCCTCGCTTCTTCATAGCATTCTTTGTGTTTATCTTATAATCATTTGTAGTGTAAAACATTTGTTACCAGCAAATAATCGGATGCAGATGCCAAAAATGAAACCTTATATATATAATTGATGTATTCTTATCTTTGAAAGACATGAGGCTTAGCCCTGGTAGTCCATTTATACCAGCCACTCCTGCTTATTATGCTATAATTTATTCCATCATAATGTGAGGAAGAGGGCGACAGGGCATGCTGTCATATGTGTGGTGTGATACACTTGATGCTAACCCTGAATATTTTGAATGATTTGCTACAACTCCATGTTATAGCATAATAGTGTTTAATTCCTTTTATACCACAGCATTTATAGATACATTTAATCTTGTGCAATATCCAGAAAGGTTAGTTCCTGTTATCACTTACATTATAGCAGCTATAATCTAGTCACTTCTCTCACTAGTCTCCTTTTCTTTGCCTCTTTAATTTAATAAGACAAAAATATTCAGTTGGCCATGTAACTGAGAAACAGCAAAGGCCTCCATCCTTTCCCGAGTTGGGAAAATGAACAGCTTTTACTTCTGACTGTCACTGGAGACTCCTTCCAAAATGATAGATCAACATCTTCTCACAGAAAGCTTCGGCAGATCAAAAATTACACACTTGTTTAATCCATTCATGAGGAGCACTTGCCATGTAAGTCCCTGTGTATTTTGTTACTATAGCAACGACTACATGTTAGAATGAGCAGATTTATATAAATCTGTGATTTGCACTGCAGCCAGATCCAGTGTCAGAGCTGATGTTATAGAAAAACATCTTCTGACCAATCAGATTTGAGAATGTAACAGCACTGTGGTTTAATACCAGTTATCACATCATTTTTTTTATCCAGACCACAACCTTTACAACTCATACAAGAGTAAACGGGTTTAAATATTTAAGCTTTGACAGTATCACCACTTACAGTGGGTATAAAAAGTCTACACAGCCCTGTTAAACCTGCAGGTTTTTGTGATTTAAACAAGATAAATTATGTCAGATCATTTGCAATTTAAGGTGATATAGCAACCAACAACATTCAAGTTAACAGCTGAAGACTATGGGCCCAGCTCCAGCAGCAGCTCCGGTGCCCTACGTGTATCAAGCAGTGGCCGTGTGTTAACAGATGTTGTGTTAGAAATGCAAAAAGACACAATTACTGCTACTGCCAACTTGATAAAAAAAGATGAAATAAAAGAAATAAAAGATATAATGTCAGAAATATAAATGACATTAAAAGAGCTTGCTAAAAATATACCTTTGCACCTGTCTGAGTTATTCACAAACGACACATGACCTCCATACACACTCTCACAGATTAAAGATTACACTTGTCTGGTAGACTTGGCTCAGGGTCATTAAGTTGTTGGTTAGGGGAGATGTATAACACAGCACATGACCTCACATTCCGGCAGACGCTTTCAGGTTGATATAGCAGTTTGACATACGTACAAGAAAGTGCACATCATTGTAGCACCTCTTCTCTGTGCTTTGTGGGTTAAGGAATGGAGTAAGGAGCCGTTGCTTGAGAGGATATCCACTGTCACCTGTAGGAAGGCTGCAGTGTTTAAGGATGCTATGATAAGTAAGACACAGGTGCAAGGGTTTAATGCCAGTGAATTTTGGAAATAGTTTAAGTGATAACTTACCAAGAAGCCAATCATCCCGTATATCCCCAGTTTCTAGTCTATTTCCTATACTGCTGTGTCTCAGAATGAAGGAATCGTGTTGAACCAGGCCACTGAGCAACCACATTGATTAACGTCATTGTGGCATGACAAATGACTTGTACATTCATAGAATGAAATTGCTTTCAATTGACGAAAGAAGCTTCATTCCGACAAAACGCCCTTATACCAATGTGAGTGCAGTCAATTGCTCCAATTACACTTGGGAAACCGGACATTGCTGCAAATTGCACATTGATGTGATTCTGTTCACCCACCGTGTAAGGAAATCTGATGTATCAATTTGTCAATTTAAGGCAGGCATGATGGAACTTAAGGATGGCTGGGATATCACTGATCTATAAGCCAGTTGTCTTTGGAAACAACTGGTTGCTAGAAATCCAAACCAGTAAGTGGATAGGAATTGCCTGGTTTTGCGACGTTGGTGTCTCTAAACCTGGGGCCAATTCAGCACCTATTTCCAACAGAATGGCTCTTGGAAATCTAAATCACCTCATTAGCCAGTAATCATCATTTTAAGGAAATCTTCATGGTCTCTAAAAACATGCTCTTGCCTTATTTGTCGGGTTTGCATGGTCTACTATTAATGCCAAAAATGCCATTGTGCAATAGACAACACATCATTCTATAGCCTTCTATAGCTGTTTGATGCCTGTAAATACCCACAATTAATACGTGCCCACAAGTAACTAATTTGTAGACTGCAAATAAGCTGGTTATTTGGAGCAATAATTATCAATACATATAAACAGGCTGACCAGTCTACATAAATAAATGACTAAAAAAGTCATGTAAAAATACTTTTTAGGCTTCAGTTCTTCTCATGTCCAAATATATGCAGTTATTATGGAGCTGCACAATTTGATATAAAGTGTAACGTTTGAGAGCGCTGATTTGTGCATTTAGCTGTAATTCTCTATATATGCACAGGGTGTTTCTAATTACCACTGTTTCTAAAATGCTGCGTATGGCTCTACGCATGAGTCGTAGCTTCCGTAAATCCCAAGTCCCAAGAGAAGCAGATCCATAGCATGCTGCCACCACCATGCTTCACCATGGGTATGGTGTTCTTTTGGTGTTAAGCTGTCTTGTTTTTGCACCAAACTTATCTTTTAGAATTATGCCCAAAAAAGTTCAAGCTTGGCCTCATCAGACCATAACACGTTTTTGCCACGTTTTTGGGTTGTCAAAATTTAGATGAGCTTGGATTTTTTGTTTTGTTCTCTTTTTTTGCAAGAAAGAGCTTCCACACTACCCCATGGCCCAGACATTTGAAGAATATGAAAGATTGTCATCACAAGCAGGGAGTGACCAGTATTTGCCAGATATTCCTGCAGCTCCTGTAAAGTTGTCATAGGTCCCTTT